AGCCATCGCAATGGCGCTGGCTACCTAGCTCATTAAATATCGCCGATGAAGCAACAAGAGCCAAAGCAGTACCCGTAGTTTGTTCGAGTTCCCGCTGGTTAACTGGTCCAGCTTTTTGCGTGAGCAGGAGATAGCGTGGCCGGTAGAACCATCATCACTTACCTCACAGCATTGCGCCGTCGAAGAAAAGAGAAATAGTCTTCTAATTATTTCCAACTCAGACTATTATATTCTGAATTTTTCAAAATATTCAGCTTTTTCCAAATTGCGTAGAGCAGTTGCTTGGGTTTTGCGTTGGATTCTCAGGGCAAGAAAACTATGCTTCCCGTCAGGTGAGCTAACAGCAGACGAAATCACCTCAGCAGAGAAACTAATCTGCTGCCGTGTACAAGAAGAGTTATATGGTGACGAGCTAAAGCTACTCCGTAGTAAGCTCCGGTTGCCTAAGTGCAGTACGTTGTACCAGTTAATGCCAATGCTCGATGAGGATGGACTCATCAAAGTCAATGGCCGAATCGACGCTGCATTTTGTCTTCCAATGTCAGCCCGCCGCCCAGTCATCATGCCTCAACACCATCACGTCACGCGTCTGATAGTATCACACTGGCACAAAAAATTACACCACCAAAATGACTGCCTGACTATAAACGAAATTCGCCAGAAGTATTGGGTGCCGCACGTACGCTCGGTACTGGCATCAGTCAAAAGGCGCTGCGTCGTATGTATTGCCGTTACCGCCAAACCAGCTACGCCTTTGATGGGTCAGTTACCGGAAGATCGCTTAACGCCATATGTGCGGCCATTCACCTATACCGGCGTCGACTATTGTGGTCCGTTTATGGTAACTGTTGGTAGAAGACGCTTGGAAGTCGCAGAAGACTTATCTACGGATGCATTCATTATTTGCCTAAGAAATTTTGTCAACCGCCGTGGTGTGCCGATACGCATTCGCAGCGACAACGGCACTAACTTTAATGGTGCACAAAAATTGTTACGCGAAGAAGAACAACTGTGGGA